GTGAGGCTTTTCTTCCTTTCTTTTGTCCGTTCTTTCTTGAGGTGTACATTATTTTCCTATTTAATTACTGATGACTGCTTTGCAGCTTTCAGCATTGGATTAAATTATTTATTATATTATTTTGTTTGTTTTGTAGCAGAAATATTATTTATTAAATTAGCATGCATATAAAAACAATAGTACAAAATAAATATTTCTTACTACAATGCTTCATTTGTGTTTGATACAAACCATCAATTTATTTTTCATTTTTCATAAATTAACAGTAGGACTTTATATAGCAGATAACTTGCATTAAAGCACATTCAAGGCATCATGATGATGAGAAATATTATTCATTATTAGTATTATTGTCATCATCATCATCAATAATATTTTATAATTATTCAACATTCATTTTGGAATTACTGCACAAATATTAAGTCATTACAGCATTAGTTAGATAGTTGTTTCTGGGTTTTGTTAGTCCCAATTGATGTTGTTTTCAAATACAATAAATCCCTTAATATACAACTTGTCAAATATATCATTCATTTTTGGTGGATGCTCCTAATTTTTTTCTGGTGCTCCTAAATTTTTTTTGGTGCTCCTAAATATTTCAGGTTGGGAGCACCGGTGCTACCAAGTAAGAAAGTTAATTTCGAGCCCTGTAATATAATATAATATAAACTGCTTAAACAATAACTTTTAATAATAATTAAGCACCAACATCAATTTAAGTATACATGAGCACAAGACACTTAAAAAATATCTTATTTTTTATATTTCAAACCCTGCAAATCTTCAGGTCTTGCAATTTGATCAAATTGTTTAGATTACAATTTTTTGTTATTACAATTATCAATATTTTTTTTTAATTACAGCTGAATGAGAAACACATCATTCTGTACAAAACACATCATTCTGTACTGTGTAGTGCTTATCAAATAAAGCAGATTATTAATTCTATTGTGAATTTATTTCACACTTTGAATTTATTGTATAAAAATGACACATTTTTACAATAAATTACATGGAATAAACAACCGTACAGTACCAACCTTGGCCAGACCAGCACGATGAGCTCCCTGAGACTCCATATAAACCAGGTACTGGTTGAAATCCTTAAACTCCTCCATGGTGGGTCTGAAGGTCATGATTTTACAGGCAGGGTTTGCAGGGGCACTTGCCCCAACACCTGCCATCCTGACCACTCTCTCCTGCCTCCCAGAGGCTTGACCTGCAGATCACACCCAGTACAATTACACTTCCTCTTCACAAGTCTTCACTACATAATAAAATTTGCACATTTAATTTGGGTTTTGCAAAACACATTTTATGCATATGACGAACTGTCTAACCATTATAAACATGTTGTTGTGTCCCGATAAACAACGTAATGTTAAAAAAAAAACCCGACTACAATTTCATCATAGCGATCACTGTCAAGTGACATCATCAAACCGTGTTTATTTACAGCATCTTCAGTATAATTGTGAAATTTATTCCGCCTTATATTAGTAAAAATGCACAAAAGCGTCAAGACCGAGAGTATCATTCACAAACGTCTTGTTGCATGAGTTTTTAATGCGGCCCACTCCCATAATCTGCTGATAAAACAATGATATAAAACCGAAATAGACCTGCTGGATATTGATTAAAGAATCATATTCAGAAGCAATATTTACACGTAAAATCGCAGCGTCATGATTTTTATCACTTGCATCATACTGTTTACTGTACTCAGCTGGGTTTATTTACAGTTAGCTCATTAGCTGCTAAAGTGACCATATTAAATGTCCACTCTTAATCTCGTTGTCAAACTTCTCCGCTTAGCCCATAAAAACAAGACGAAGCTGTTTCTGCACGAGGGTTGTTTTCTGTTATGCGTATCAATTAGAAATACCTCAGTGTAGTGTGATCGTGGGCACGCAGTCCAGTCCCTTTAAATCCCCAGCTGTTCTACTTCATGACAGCTCTCTCTTCTCACACGATTTCACGTCTACCTCGCTTTAATTTCGCTCTGAGCTTTCAAAAGCACAGCGCCATCTGTTGGTCTGTATGTCACACAAATATACTGCAACGCATACAATGCAGCTCCAATAAACAAAGCACTGGGTTTTTCTGAACGAATTTAAACAATACCTTTCACTGATCCAAATGTCCCATCACAAAAAGGCTCTAAAACTTCAACTGTCTGCGGCTCTTTTCCTACATTTGAGTAAATTTAGCTTTTTCTATATGTATTTTTTATATACCCCATGTGTTTAGCAGTTTTTTTTTTTGTTTTTTTTTTTGCAGTTCTATTTCTTCATTGTTAAAGTTAATTGTTCTGCCTATGTGCTGTTTTATGTATTATGGGTTTAATATAAAAAATTAATAAAATAAATAAATAAATAAATAAATAAATAAATAAATAAATAAATAAATAAATAAATAAATGAATAAATAAATAAATAAATAAATAAACAAGCAAAGCACTGGAAGTTTTCTATATAAAATTTGAGAACCAGACGCAGTACAGCTTTGATCAAGAGTGTTTGCCTCAAAGATTATAACGCACCCTTCTTAAATAAAATAGTTATTACTAAGCATTTTTAAATAGTATTTTAATTTTACATTGAGTGGGCCTAAATGTAACATACATATAAAATCCATTCCTTTATTTTTAAAGCACATTTAAAAACAACAGAAAGAATAAAATGCATTATGCTATCAACAATATATAGATCTAAATAAAATATACTCAAATACAGAAATTAGACTTTCACATTAAAACACATAATTGAAATGGTAGAAAAAATGGATATGGCTGCATATTATGTATTGTTTCAGCATCGATATTGTAATATGATCATTTACAATAATCACATCTCAGAATATGCAATGTTGAGTTTTTATTATCATTTATTCATTGACATTGATCAGTGACCTTAACTACAATAAATTTTATAGAATTATTTTTATTTTTATCATTCAGTTACTTGAATACTGTTAGACTCAGGAAATGATAAAAACTTTATTTTAATTGTATCTTTGCATGATTTTATTTTTAGATTGTTATGCATGAAAACACTCACAACACATACAAATACAGAAATGCACTGCAAATAGCACAGACTACAACAAAAATGTCAGCAGCAGGTTTTATAGGTTGTTCATTTGATTTTATGGCGATGCATTCCCACTGCAGAATCATCCCAATTGATCTAACATTATAATTTTTTTCCCAAATAGATATATTGTCATCTGGTGAAATTGTATTTATATCACAATATATTTGTAAATAAAAAAATATCGCAATGTTAGATTTTTCCAATATTATGCAGCCCTAAAATGTATGTAGGTTAAATATTTCATATTTCATATTTATGTTATTCTAAAAAACTTTAAAATGACACCAGGCTTAATAGTATTATAATGTTGAAATTAAAAAGATTACAGTGAAATTTAAGAATCAGACAAAGCATAGTTATGGTAGCTTCAAAAATTACAATGTACACTAACTCTGTACTCTAAAAATAGTTATTAAATATTTTTAAAATAGGCCTGATATTTGTCTAAATGAAATGCACATATAACATTAAGATACAAATTGACATTATTGACAATAAGTATAGAAATAAATGCTGAATAATATTACTCTTAAAGAATACAGTAGATCAGAATACTTAGGAGATTTAAGAGGTTTTCGTTTTTCTTGTTGTTGAATTGGGTTTTATAATATCCATAACAAAATATCTATGACTTTATAAACCACAAAACAGAGTATAAGGAGATTTAGGTTTAGATCATCATAAGGAGATTTAGGAGATTCCATTCAAAAAGCAAGCTAGGCATATTTCACTGAAATCGTCAAAAAAAAAAACTAAAAGGAAAGTCTTAAAGGGGTGGTTCACTACGATATTATATTCTAAACTTTAGTTGATGTGTAATTTAGTTGTGTGAACATAAACAACATCTCTGAGTGTAAGACGCTCAAAGTTCAATGCAATGGGAGACAGGCTTTTACAGAGTTATCTTAGCAAAGCCTACAGTAAACAAGTTTGGGGACTTTTTAATTATAACATCACGGCATCAAAGAAAAATATAATAACAAAAATTAAGAAAGAGGACAAAAAAAAGTTCAATCATAAACAAACGCCTCAATCATAAAGAAAAAAAGATTATCGTAAGCTTTAAGAAACATATAATTCCTATCATTATTAATAAGCTTAGGAGATTCAATATTAAACGAAATTTCAGCAAGAAAAGTATTAAATGTAGGTATTGCCTTCATTAACTTATTTTTGTGTATACCCCATTTACAGTGTACGAAGTTTGGGGACTACAAAAAAATACATCTGGGTTAATGATGTCATAAACCCATCCGGTTATGCACACACCCCACGCAGAAATAGGGGTGTTGCCAGAGGCGCTGTAATGTTAACAAGCCAATCCACGAATCACAGCACATTATGTTAGCTGACCAATCATTGCCTCCTGAGGACTGGCCTTTTGGAGGAACTAGGAAATATGACAGTCGTTTTCATGTTTGTTGAGTAATTGTATAATCAAAGATATGAAAAAATAATATGATTTTTCTTCAAATGAAGCATGAGCACACATTTCTTTGCACCTCATAAACACAACTGAGCCTTAAAAATACACTCTGGACCACCCCTTTCGGTTTTGAATACAGAAAAGTCGAAGTTTGCAAGAAATTATACTGACAGATACTGCCAGAAAAAAATATCTGCTGCTGTCATTGCTGCAAAAGGTGAGTATGCCAAAATATGAAAATTAAAAGTGGATAAAAACAGTATCACTCTTTGCTGTGGTCAGAGCAGCCGTGTGTTTTATGAACATTAAATTAAATGTTTTGAAGGAAAAAACATCTATACTTTAGACCTGTCAGGTGTTCCTATAATTTAGGCCACTATTTTTATTCCATTTAGTTCATCTTTATTTTTATAGCGCTTCTTACAAAAGGGGGCGGTGGAGAGGGAGAGAGAGAGAGGAAGAGAGAGAGAGAGAGAGAGAGCGACTAACTGATCAAGCGCTGAAAGCAGATTAAACGGTTAAACTGAAGTGCGTCTCTGTGAAACTCCCGGTGGACTAACCCACCTTCACTTTATTTATTTACCGGCCCAATGACTCTTCTGTCTTCACCGGCGACGGATAGTTCATGAAAATGTTACTCTTCGTGTGAGGTGAGTGGAAAACATAGCACGTAATCCTTCATTATCGTTGTGTTGTGAAGATGAAGGCGCGTCTTTGACGGGACGAGGTGAATTTGACAGATTACAGGGAATTAAGTGAATGACACTTTCATCGCCGCGAATTAAAGACACTCAACCAGCCTTCATAGAGAAACTCGAGTCTGTTTGACTGTGATGAAGAGATAGTGAGTGAAATGTTCATTAAACAGAGTCACAGAAATATAGGACATTTTGCCTACATAGATGTGTTTTACAGAAGGCGTTTTATAGACGCTTATTTGTGCTCTTGTTTTATAATAAGAGTAATAGTGATATTAGTTGTCTTTGTCGACTGAGATTCTGCCCCACGGGTAATAATATTATATTATCTTCTTACCATTTCAGGGAATGTCAGATAACCTTGTTTATGTGACTGAGAGTAGAATCCAGTGCTCCCATTTTAGAGATGTCATATGCAACATACTATATATTAAACAAAACGCTGCACTTTTCATTGATAATGTTGATTCATAAAAACCATTGCATTTATTAGCCTACAAATCCATTTATTATGTAGCCTAATCTATGTATATGGTTCAAGACAGCAGCACAGTTTTTCTCAAACTTCATTCATTTTACTGTTATATATTTATATATTTTTTTGTTATTCAGTTTATTGTTAATGTTATTATTCAGTTGTTGTAATAATTCTGATTAGTAGTGAAAGCGAGGGCAAAAATCAGTCAGGAGATCCGGCAGGCTTCAGAAAGGGCCATAATTCATTTATGCTGTTATTTTTAGGAGCAGCTGAATACTGTGAATTCTTGATGCCTTGTAATCGTAAACTTACCAAAACAGACCATGGTTAGACGACTTCCACATGTTTAAAACCTGATAAACTGTAGTGATGATGATGTGCTCAGACTAAATAATAGGCACTAGCACATAAACTAAACTGAAAAAAAAAAAGATTTATTGGATTTACTACAATTTTCTAAGACAAGTGGTTGCAAACAATTTATATAGGCTGAAATAAATTCCGATTAAGATTAAGATTAGTTTACAGATTTAGTTAAATTACAAAATTCAGTTCGTTTGTTTAAATTCAGCCCAAACATTGTTTGCTACAATTTTGCAAAAATATTTTGTTCAGTATGCCTAAAGAACTGATGCAAATAATCTTAGATGACCTATCATGGCACATCTGGACACATGGAGCAGCCGTTCACAAGCTGCTAACAGCCAAAATTGGACAATTTGTGCCAATACTCATTTAAGAGGCTCTTGGAGAGGGAGATCTTCAACAGGAACTGATCTGATTATGCTCTCTATATGAGAGTGACTGAAGCCCCTAGGACAAATGACAGCTTCAATTACAGACACATAAATGCAGCAGACAAGCACAGACACAAAAAAAACTTGCTTTGTTTAACATGCTTTTAGTGGCTTGTGGAGAGAAACAGTTGGAGTCAACATTATTAGCCCTCCTTTCATTTTTTCCCCTTCTTTTTCAATATTTTCTAAATGATGTTTAACAGAAAAAAACAATTACAGAATTTCCTATAATATTTTTTCTTCTGAAAAAAAGTCTTATTTGTTTTATTTTTGCGATGAAAACAGTTTTTAAAAAATATTTTAAGGCCAATATTATTAGCCCCCTTTAGCAATATATATTTTTAATAGTCTACAGAACAAACCATCATTATACAATAATTTGCCTAATTACCCTAACTTGTTTAATTAACCCAATTAAACCTTTAAACTGCAATTTAGTCCAAAAACTATAAAATGTCTAATAAAATATTATCTACTGTCATTATGGCAAAGACAAAATAAATCAGTTAGGAATGAGTTATTAAAACTATTATGTTTAAAAATGTTCTGGAAAAAAAACCCTGAAATTGTTTAACTTTAACTGTTAAACAGAAATTGGGAAAAATATATAGATGGGGCTAATAATTCAGGAGGGCTAATAATGCTTCAACTTCAGACTTCAACTGTATATTTTCTCTATAATCATTACTGATTCCATCAGAATTCACTGCTTTAATTATGTAGAATATAGGGCTTGTATGTTCAAAAATAGGGAAAAAAATTTCTCAAAGCTGCTAAGAAACTATAAATCTCAGCTCAAGTTTTAATTATATTGAATAATGTATATTAATCAAATTACACATTTGTTTCTAAAATAAATATTTTTTATTCAACAATGCATTAAAATGAGAAAAAAGTGACATTAAAAAGAGTTCAGTTTAAAAAGGTTTATTTTCTTTAGATGTATCTATTCTTCCACAATAATATTAACAATAGCAAACATTTAGTCATTGATAATGACATTAAGAGATGTTTCTGATGCACCAAATGTTAGATTCATGTAAATGTAAATGTAAAAGCATCCTAAAATGTTAGAGGGGAAGTTCACACAACATGAACATTTATACACATGTATTCACTTTGAAGTTGTAACAATCTTTTATGACCTTTATTTTTTCTGTTGAACACAAAAGAAGATATTTAGAAAAATGTTTTGAAAACTAATATTTGTAAAAATTGAAGGGATGACAAAGTAAACGATGACAGAATTTTCAGTTTTGAGTGGACTACCTCTTTTCAATAGAATATAATTTTAAATTGTAATACTGGTGGAGAGTGTTGTCTAACACTCGGTTTATTGTCTAATTACTGTAATTGGATTATGATTTACATTATGTTTTCACCATCAGCCTATACAGTAACCCCTTTTGGGGGGCACTGTCATTCTAACAAGAGCCCACTTGAAATGTTTAATCTTAGGATAAATGACTTTGACTGAAACAATGCAATAAGTCAGTAATGCAGAACCAGTGGAGCCAAACTACAGTTCTTCATTTTCTTTTAATTTGTAACCTTTCTATATATTTGTGTCTTTACATATATAATATCTATGACTCAAATCGACTTGCTATAGAACATGTAAATAGATTTATGTGACTCTATAGCCCCACACATTTATTTTAGGTCAGGCTTAAACTTAAACACTTAGTTTTATACATTATGTATGCTCTATCTTTAACCACAAAGGGGTCCTTGACCTGTAAGGTTGAAGACCCCTTATACTGAGGTAAGCTGGTGTCAATAGTGATCTCACACAGTTTCCTGGACTATTATTAGTAACAGTTCTCTCTCCATTTCCTGGTGATATTTATAAATGCTTGAGGAAATTATAATATTAAATTAAATGCTTGCAGACAAGCTTATAGACAGCCACACAATCAGCTGAGGTTATTATTTTAGACTAATGTTTTGTTGTTTGAGTCTCAACTATATCATTACAAAGAGAAAGCCTCTTGAAAAGAAAGAAACTGCTAAAAATGAAAACTCAGAAAAAAGTTTATTTATTTATTTATTATTATTATTATTATTATTATTATTGGAAGCAAACATTTTATGATACAAAAGTCTTCCTTGTCTACCAGGATCAAATGTTTTAAAATATATATTTTTTATAATTTTTTTTTTATGTTATTTAAACAAAAGCTTTCCTCAAAACATTACTCCTAGAATCATGCAAATTCAGTCACACTTTCAGTTTTTCTTACTGTGCACCTCTTTAGCTTCTCTTTCTCTTCTTTAACCTCATCCAACTTCCCCATCTCATTTGTTTTCCTTTTGTCAATATACTTTTTTCCCTAATTTCCCCTTCCTCCTATCACCAATGATCATCATTCATCTGTCTCTGCAGATGTGCAGTGCTCAGATCATGCTGCCCGGCCACTCTTTCACTATCTTTGTGTTTTGTTCTGCTTGTGTGTGTGTGTGTGAGTGGTGAAGCAGCATTATCTAGATGCATTATTAAAGCCTGTGCACTCTGTGGTTCTCTCTCTCTCTTTCTCTCTCTCTATTTCTCTCACACTTGCTCTCGGTAAATCTGAAAGAAGAGTTTAAAGGCAATGATAGGATTACAAAAGCATTTAAGGAGAGCTTGAAGGATGTGGAGTACTTGGAACTTCATAAACATACATTTGCTCAAAGCTTACTTATGGCGAACGCACCAATGAAAAGCTAACATTTCGGCAGCATTATCAATTTCGTAATGATTTTTTTTTTTAGAAAAAAAAGTTAATTGTAAATGTACTCTCATTGTTATGTTCTGCATATAGCTATAGGGGTTGTTCAAGATCTTTCGTTTGAGTAAATTACAATGCGGTGCTGAAAAATGTCAGTGAAAGACCCTGACAGTGCATACTGTGGTTATGGGGGGAAAATAGCACCGGGAGAAAGATAAATGAAGGAAAGCAGAGAACAAGCGAGTGAGAGGAAGAAAGAAAGAAAGCCGTGTTCTCTGTTTTTGCACTAGATACATTAATTATTCAACAGCCAGGAGCTGAAAATGTTCAGAGGGGACTCCGACAAGGCTGATGGTTCAGTCTTTCTTTCGCTCTCTTAATCTCTCCTCAGACTTCCATTGTCACTTCATCAGTTTGTTATTACTGTCTCACTATAAGCTTCCAGCAACTCACAATTGTTATATTGCAGTCAAGAATTAGAACACTGCTACTAAAGGGCTAGCTAACTGCAAGCATCCTTTTTTTTTTTTTAACAATATCAGATTATTTAACATATTTAACAGAACTACTATATTTAATGGAAGAAGAAACACAGCTATTCCTAAATAGAACTAAATATGCTGCTGTAAAATGCTAATATATCTACTATGCATTTGGCAGTTGCTTTTATCCAACTCATATCCAATGTTTAATGTACTGGAGGGAGCTTCTTCCTGTTAATCTAACATGTCATAATAAGGGTAAAAAAATGGAAATGAATTATTGTCACAAACATGCAGAGAATGCACAGGTACAGTAGCTCACTTCTGTAGGTAAACACTGAATATAAGTGGCTTTGGATAAAACCATCTTCCAAATTCCAAAAGTAAATGTAATATAGCATTTTTTTGTATCCAACACCAATGTCACAGGTTTACATTCAATTTAATGCAAGTGCTTTATAGGGTATGTTTACATGATATTGATGCGCCTTTTTTCCTTTGTGCTTTGAAAAAGCTTTTTTCTTTTTTTATGTTTTGTTTTGTTTTGTTTATTTGGATAATACACCCGACAATACACCATAACACTTCTTGACTTTCTTGGTTTGTGTGAATCCACACATTTTCCAAGTAATTTAACACATCTCTAGTACAAATGTGGGTTTGTTTAATTATAACAGTGTTATTTACCCTAAATAAGATGGAAGTGAAAATGAAACAAAAATATATTCTCGATAAATTAATATGATTCATTTTTTTCCAAAAAAGTTTAGAAATTGTATAGTTCTAATAATGACAGCGGGTACATTGTAACACAATGTTTCTTATTTGCTCAACTGGAATTTAAAAACGGTTTTATACTGTGCTAGTTAGCAAAGCTAAAATTCTAAATAACTTATTTATTTTTATATTGTGAAATTCATTACTGAACATTATTAAAATTAGAGCAGATTTGTGTCATTTTAAATAAAATGGTTTAAATAATTATTAAATAAATCATCATTATGAAAATATAAGGAGATTTGAGGCATTTGTAATTCAAGATTTTCTATTTATAGTGCAGTATACCTGAATTGCAAGTATACTTTATAAGTTTTGTTATGCAAGTAATGAAAAGTTTAATCCATGTGTTACATCTAACTTTGCTCACACCTATCGTGCACCTTTTGAAAAGGCACATAATTTGTGCATTTATTTCTGAAAGTGTCCAGATTATTACAATGCTCAAATGATTACAGATGAAAATGACTAAAAACCGTGTATTACGAATGTCAGCTCAAGAGATGGCAATGCCATTTACTAAAGAAACATTATGAATCCACACATGCACAGACCTGTAGTCTACTATTGTTATTTTGGATGTCAAGTGATCACACAATGCCTATAAACAGATCATTGTGTTCACATATTCACATTTGTGTAGTTCACCCAAGAGGTTATGGTATTGCTTTTAAACATTTGCACTTAGATATCCATTTTCAAAAGCATTTATAATAGGGATGCACAATATATATCACAATGTTATTTGCAATAAAAAAAAGATCTGCAATGTTAAAGTAAGACTACATAATAACCAACTAAACAGTTGTTCATCGTAAAAATTAACCCTAATAGAATGAAAGATTTTGGTTTTCATTTGGATGTTTTTAAGATCGCCACTGTAGGATTTCAATAGGATTTAAACCAAGGGGTTATAAAGTTTTAAGCTTTAATGAAGATATATTATGGTTGTGGCTGGAAGGGCATCCCCTGCGTAAAACATATGCAGGATAAGTTGGCGGTTCATTCCACTGTGGTGACCTCTGAAATAGAGACTAAGAGACTCACACAATAATGAAGACTAAACAATGCTATTTTACAAATGATTATTGAATTTCTTTTGTACCTCAATACTGTTAGACTCCACATAAATCCATAAAACATGGTTTATTTAATTTCTATCTGTTCAATTATGCGTCAATGCTTGTAATTAGTTTATTGTATTTTTAATGCAGACAAAATAATTCCAATCAGTCCAAAATTATGATTTTTTTTTCAAATACAGTTTTAATTCATCTTATGAAATTATATTTACATACAGTACATACAAAATCTAGTTTATACCAGACAAACCAAAATATTGCAGAGGGTGCTGCAGTTATGTATATTTGAATAGCCGACAAGCATAAAACATTTTTTGTTGTTGTTGTTTTTAGTAGAAAATGTCCAAATGTAAACATGCTCTTGGACAAAAGATCAAATGCAATGCCATATCTGTGTGGATGCCATTTGAGGCTGAGATTACTTACACCCAGACTGAGTTTTATAATTTGATGAGGGTAGAAAAGATATTTCTTGCAGTGTGATCTGGGAAGAGGCATGGGAGGTTAAAAATAAGTTGAGCAGAGGCACTGAGGCTTTTAAGAAGTATGGCATTTGACCAGCAAGGATGGAGTTAACAGTCTGCCCATTAAACTACTAAAACCTGGATAAGCAGCGATTAGGAAAAGACCTTATTTTGCTTTTTAACTAGAAGAGAAACCCTTTATTAGCATCACTTTGGATTAGGCAATTACAGTCCTGGCAAAACATCCATGCACTTATATAATACAACTGTAAAAATATAAATATACGCTGACAATAATAGTCTCTCTTTAGTGTTTAGTTTGAGTTTAGTTTTAAGGCTGTAGTTCTGGCCATAGAAATACTGTTGTCCGTGTAGAATATCACTCCTCATTTAAACATGAAAAATGCTTTTTACTGAGAGAGCTCGTTCAATTAAACAAGGCAACAGAGCTTTATTCTTTGTGGTGCAACAACTTTGAACATCAAACATATTGTATCTGAATGTGACTGTTAAATTCATTTAGCCAGTTCTGGCCAAAAAGGCCATTTGTTCACATTTAATTGCTCTTCTTCTAATTGCTTAATTGCAAGAATCTAATTTTACTTTATCTAACTTTATGCTGATTTAAGCCCTGGTCAGATCACACGATTTTTATTGTCGGTTACGAAAGTCATTATGTCAGATTATGTGATTTTGTCTTGATAAAATATTGACTTGTTGTGGGTAAAAAATGTGCCAGACTACATGTTCCTTCATGATCAGTTATCTTGTGACATTTACAATGAGCGTTATTTCCCAAAGCAGTCACAATGGTTGCTATAACAATATTTCTTATCTCAATATAAATAGTTTTTAATCTTATTTTAATCTTAATAAACACTGCTTGCTGACAACTTGGCTATATTACTATTTAATGGCATTCATTATGACAGTGATGGGATCAAACGTATTTCCTTTTTAATATTAAGATATTTTCTTTTAAATCTAAATGTATATTTTCCAGCCATGGGTTGCCTATTAAACACTCCCTCCCTGAACTTGCCACAAGTGAGATGGAAAAAAATTTAAGCACATCAGCAGCAAGGAAAAATCAGATGCTCAAGAGAAAATAATGACTTATTAAAAAATAGCTAATATATGACAAAGGTTTGTGACACAACAATTACAATGGAGCCTTAATTAGGTCCTTATTTTTAACTGAGGGAAACAAATAATCCACCCGCACGGCTGAGTAGTGGACGAGCACAAACAAAAAAATAATTTGTATATTTTTCTTGAAAGAAATATCTTTTTGAAATGAATTTCATTGGGTGTAATTTGTATCTTAATTTTAATGTATTTTGTTGGTTTGTTATTTACTAGATAAGCAAGAATAACGAGTAACATCTGAGGTGAAGTGCTTCAAAGTCCGCTATATGCTTCAGCGCCAAAGCATGAACTGGTTTGCTAAATAAAATAAAATGTAGCTTAAATAACATTAAAGTCAAATTTTCAGTTTCAGAGAAACTAAATGACAAAAGCATCCATTGCTGTTTAGTTTCAATTCAATTAGTTTAATCAAGTAATTTGAATAAGCAGAACAGGCTTTTACAATGTTTTTGCAGCACTAAACTCCTACCCAGACTACCTAGGAAGAAAGAACTCGGTCGGAAGGCTGAAAGAACTCAGAAACTTGTTGTGAGAATAGAGATTTTTGCATATTTATGTCAGATAAAACTGTTTAAAAAGCTTTAATATTTTTGAGAAAGTAGGTAAAGTTTGCATAACCAATGATTGATCTTATCCACTCGAGACCCACCCATAAGTAAATATGCAGCCTATTTTTTGGTAATGGCATCGGTTGTCATGAACTATGACACATTACATGAGAAGAAATGATCGAACCTTGTGTCATGATGCCCAGTTGTTGTTTTTGACTCCCCAAGGTAACCCTACTTCAAGGAAATCGTGACAAATACGTGTGATCTGACCATGTCTTTAGACTGTGGAATAATTCGTCACCTTGGAATTATAAGGTTCTTTATTTGGCAAATAATTTCCATTTCGCATTAAACCTTTTTTGCACATGTCCAAAACCACCTCTATTGAGCATAACACGTTTTTTGTGAATTAAGGAATTTTTATTTGAAATTTGGCATTTCCATCACTTGTTTCTCATACGATGCTTCAAAATGCGCATTAGTGATGGAAAACCACATACTTCTCGCAGATACCTCAGAAATCATTGAGAAATGCTTTTCTAAAATTTCCCATGACTGTTCCTATAAAAGTTTTGCTTGGTGTAAATATTACAAATTCAATAACCAAAACTAATGTTTAAGGGCAAACATGTTACAGATAAGACAATATGCTACTGAATCATGAAATAATTAGTGCTATTTTTTTTTATCTTTTAAACCAAATGTAAATCACTGCACTTTACCAGATAAGTCTAATACTATGACCAAATTTCTTTAAATGACAAATAACAAATAATTTATTAAAGTACTATATCACTGGAGTTTAGAAAAAAAAAAACATTTCAGCCTTTTGTCAGTTTAGCCCTTTTTTTACCTAAGAGTTGCAGGCTTGCCTTCTGGAGGGGATCTTTAGCTTATTTCACCACCTTTTCAAATTCCCTCTGCATTTCCCTTGAAATGATATATCAATGTTTCAGTCTTTTCTGTTACATAAACAAATTGGTTTAATCTATACATATTCACTCTGTTTTTATTGAAATCTCACAAAACTTAATAAACATCCAAAGCACTTTCTGTTGAATGAAAGGCACCCCAGTTCAGGTTTACTCAAGGCATTTTTCTCTTCACTCCACTCCAGGTTTTCAATTTCCCACTTCTAACTAAGTGATTAGAGAAACCCTGTTCTGAGCAATCAGAAACATTGGGGAAAAAAGTACATTCATCTCTTCACACATAATGAACTCTGCTCACCACACAGACCAAAACCATCATGTGTTGTAATGGAATCATAAACTGTTAATTTATCTTCAATCGGAGAAGGGAATGAGAATGATGCAACATGGCCAGTGTATTGGTATTGCTGTGACCCAACTTCAGTGGCCAGTCAGTCATGCAATAGTCATTTCCAATAGTGAGATAAGATTCTTTTTTACATCACATAACATCTTATGTGTCTCTTTAACAGATCTGGGGACCTCTTGAAGCTCCAATCATGGCAGCAAACAAGAGCCTATGTTTGATGGAGAGGACCACTGGATCAAGAAGGAAAAGCTCTTACACTGTCTGGAATTCACCACTGATGAAACAAGAACTCTGAACTGTTCTCCTTGGTCATATTAACCTGCCAAAGTTCAGGTGTAAAACATCGACTTAGATGCAGTGCAAATGGATAAAACAAAAACTTCAAAATCACACACACTGGATATATTTATGCTGAGCAAGCCAATGAAGTAAAAATATTTATTCAATGTTAGCGATCATATGAAAAGAATGATTAAGTCAAATATTTTGAAGAATTGGTATTGAAGCTATGGAAAAGTTCCTCTTTGGTGGGGCAACATATCATCTGACTGTAAGGTAAGTGTGAAGTGTGTTTCCTTGTTTGCAGCCCAGGATCTTCAGAAATATGTGACTTAGCCTACATTTTTGCGAAATTTGAATAAGTTGCTCTGTGTTTGTTTCAGTCCATGTTCCAATTGACAGATGCACTAGAGGACGATGTCTAGATCTTTGCGAATCTGAAATACTTTACTCATGGTACATTTTGTTGTACTTTTCAGATATTAATCACGTCCATGAGCATCTAGCGAATCCCTGACATATACCATTCCTTAAACCCCACCAATAGTGAGAGATCTACTAAAGGACGATGTCTACATCTTTGCGAATCTGAAATAATTTACTCATGGTACTTTTTGCTGTATATTGTTCACGTCTATGAGCATCTAGCGAATCACTGACATATACCTTTATTAAAACCCAACCAGTAGTGGCAGATCCACTAGTGCAGGGGTGTCCAAACTCGGTCCTGGAGGGCCGGTGTTCTGCATAGTTTAGCTCCAACTTCCTTCAACACACCTGCCTGGAGCTTATTAGTATACTTAAAAAGAGCTTGATTAGCTGGTTCAGGTGTGTTAATTGGACCTAAAATATGCAGGACAACGGCCCTCCAGGACCGAGTTTGGACACCCCTGGACTATAGGACGAAGTCTACATCTTCGCAAATCTGAAATAATTTAGTCATGGTACATTTTGCTGTACTTTTCTGATATTGTACACGCCCATGAGCATTTAGCAAATCACTGACATATACCTTTCCATAAACCCAAGCAATAGTGTTTTCAAAAGCAAGCATAAGAGAAAAGTGCACCATTACCATGTAGTTTACCTTGATTTTACATAGTTTTTATCTCTTTTTTGAAACCGTGTTTTACTGAATATGCTCGAGTAGCCTGTGCCACAAGTACAACATTGTACAAAGTGAGCTCCTAAGAAAACTGACTGCGATAGGTGAGGCAAACATATTTGATTACAAATCATGGTAACACTTTATTTTGATGATCCATTTGAGTATTAGTAGACTGTCTGCTTAATATCTGTTGAAGCTACTGCTAAACAGACATTTAACTGACTATAAAAATTTTGCAAGTACATGTCAACTTACACTAAACCCAACCTAACAATCTACTATAATCTAATGAGAATAAGTTGATATGTAGATGAAATGTAACTTAAATTCAACAATAGTACCATCAAAATAAAGTGTGACCAAAATCATAGACAACATTAAGTTGTTTCGTGGTATTTGTTGGTGTTGTGCAAAGAACTGCACAATTATACGCCTTTATTTTTCGATAATACGTCAATGGAAATATTGTTAGTGTGAAAAAGAACAAAAGCTATTGCTCTTACTGCGCCGTAGCATTAGTTTTACCTGCAGTGGAAGGTACGTTTCAGATACACATCTTTCATGTACACATTCATAAGCAGGTAACACTTGTACAGATCACCTAGCGAATCACTGACATATACCTTTCCCTAAACCCAACCAATTGTGTTTTCAAAAGCAAACATAAGAGAAAAGTGCACCGTTACCATGTAGTTTACCTTTAGTTTTTAGTTTATTTTTAAAACCGTGTTTTACTGGACTCAAATTCAAGTACCCTGTGCAACAATTACAACATTAGACCAAGTGAGCTACCGAGCAAAATATCCACACAAATGTATTCACTTACAAGTCATAGACACCTAAAGTTGTTTTATGGTATTTATTTATTTTGTGCAAAGAACTACACAAAAAATGTGTTATTTGTTTATAATATGTACCTGAAAGTAGTAATAGTGTGAAAAGGAACAAAAGTTGTTTGCGTCTTACTGCTTTGCAGCATTAGTTTTACCTAAAAACTGCAGTGGAACAAATTTGTTTTTGCAGTTTCATAAAAATGTTGGCCGAAGCATGTATTTCCAATGAGCCTGTGTTACTTATTTGTGTGCACTAGTTTGTCCAAGGTGTTTACATGTGTGTCTATAACTCAGTGATCGGCTCAGTGTGTGACGCAATTGCACTCTGTCCCTGCCTTTACAAACCTAATCCAATTAGAAAACTTGTCAGTAACCTTAGGGTCGTCTGTCTGATACTCTGTACACATCTACGTACTTTACACTCTAGAAAGGACTGTAAAATTAGGGAACTGTATTGTACTGAGTTAAAAATGTACAGTGTTTATATCACATTGTGTTGTTTTAGGGTTAAAAGAAACATAAACTAAATGTCCTGACAGAAAAATACCAATAATTACCTTTTAAGTTTTCCATTAAGTTGGAACAAGTCTACAGTGGAGGCTTAGTAACTACTTGCAAGTTTGTAACTAACTGTGTAGGTTATTCAGTTGCTCCCTTTTTATCTTAAGGCACATTGCAAAGTTGTACGTTGTTCTTAAAGTAATGTGGAGACATTACTCTAATTGATCCTAAACATTCATTCTTCTGGCAGATGCATTGGTTTAAAGTGACGTTACATTCAATGTATACATTTTATTAGTTCTTGCTTGTTGCTAGTGCTCATGTTTGAACTAAGGCACAATTATATGTGAAATATAATACATGATCCTGAATAACGTCATGGACATTTTGGTTACACTTTCAATAAGGTGTCTTTGTTACACGTGTGTTCTTACTTAAGTAATTATAAATTAATTATGCATAATTTTAAACAACACCCTAAACTTAACCAGCATTTAAACCCTAACCATATAGTAAGTATGCAATGAATTAATATTACTCAGTAGTAAAATGTAATGTGTATTTATATAGCGCATTTATTGCATATGGTCACACACACAAAGCGCTTCACAATCAAGAGGGAGGGGGGTCTTTCCACACCACTTCCAGTGTGCAGCATCCACTTGGATGATGCGACGGCAGCCTCATGACAAAGGCGCCAGTGCGCTCAACAAACACCCGCTATTGGTGGAGTGAAGAGACAGTGATAGAGCCAAATTGGTGGATGGGGATGATCGGGGGGCCATGATCATTAGGGGCCAATTGAGGGAGTTTGGCCAGGACACCGGGGTTACACCCCTACTCTTTACAAGAAGTGCTATGGGATTTTTAATGACCGCAGAGAGTCAGGACCTCGGTTTAACGTTTCATCCAAAAGACGGCGCCCACTGATGTCCCCTTCACTTTTACTGGGGTATTAGGACTCACACAAACCACAGGTTGAGCGCCCCCTGCTGGTCTCTCTAACACCACTTCCAACAGCAACCTAGTTTTCCCATGTGGTCTCCCATCCAGGTACTGACCAGGCTCAGCCCTGCTTAGCTTCAGTGAGGCTGCAGGGTGATATGGCTGTGGCCAAATAGTTACACTGTAACAAGCACATTCATTCATTTTCTTGTTGGCTTAGTCCCTTTATTGATCCAGGGTTGCCACAGCGGAATAAACCGCCAACTTATCCAGCAAGTTTTTACGCAGTTTTTCCAGCCGCAACCCATCTCTGGGAAACATACACAAACACACACTCATACACTATGGACAATTTAGCCTACCCAATTCACCTGTACCACATGTCTTTGGACTGTGGAGGAAAACGGAGCACCCGGAGAAAACCCACGCGAACGCAGGGAGAACATGCAAACTCCACACAGAAATGCCAACTGAGCCGAGGATCGAACCAGCGACCCAGCGACTTTCTTGCTGTGAGGCAAACGTGCTACCCACTGCGCCACTGCGTCGCCCTTGTAACAAGCACACCTTAAAATAAAGTATAAACTGTAATTTATAAGTAAATACAAAAAACATGATCGCCTAACAACAAGAAGGTTGCTGGTTCGAGCCCCTGTTGGTAGAGATGCGCGAATCAGCTGGAATGTCACCCGAATCCGCAGCTTCATACTAATCATCCACCCGCTACCGCCCGGATACAGGAACAAGATAACAAAAAGGGTGCCACTTCAGCCTAAACGGCAGCTATGTTATTATTTATTTTTAAAGTTCCCAGGTTCTGCAGGTTGCAATGTCCTGAATTTTGCTTGCCAATATTAAGCCAATTGCAATCGATTGTTTTGGTTCAATTTGATATTTCCCCAACCAGCGCAGAGTGAGTACACAGTGAGTACACACACAGTGAGTACTCACTGTGTGAGTACACAGTGAGTACTCCGACTAGGCCACCCCCGGTCTGCTATGTTATGTTTACTTGGCCTTTTTCTTTGCACTGTGTGCTTATTGTAGGAATGCACAAGATTCTCCTCGCAAGGCTCTGCAGTCCTGGAAATAAACGATCTTGTTTGTCCCAGAACGATAGCAGATTTTCCTTTGATGACTTGAAAGAGTCAGTGCCTTACCAGCCACAAACCTCACCGCACGTCAAGCGGCACTCATGTCTCATCACTAACTGAAAGTTTAAACAGTACTCTTTCACTTCATCCATTATTTTGGGTGTCTTGTCTTCACATTTTGCAAAGCCCACTCTCTGCTTTTTCGCTGGTCCACTGCCATGTCCCACTACATCCACCCGCAATTAATCATAATGTATTTTTTTATTACCCCTTCCACGTTCAAAGTCATTTAAATCACATTTCTTCCCCATTCTGATGCGCGGTATGAACTGCTGCAGATTGTCTTGACCATGTCTACATGCCTAAATGCACTGAGTTGCTGCCATGTGATTGGCTGATTAGAAATTTGCGTTATGAGCAGTTGGACAGGTGTACTCAATAAAGTGGCCGGCAAGTGTAGGTCTGTAAGGTTCATTTCAACAGTTCATTTAGTCTGCTATTTGCTGCAATATCAAGATTAACAGTGCAAAGCAAAAACATTGAGTAGTGTCAAAATTTTGTTAATGTTGTAACAGCTTATACAACTAACTAGATAGACTTTTCTTATATTGTAGCCAGTGCTGAATTATGTAGCTTACACAGTATTCAGACTTGTATTTAGATTATGCTACCTTTTAAAATGCTTTTAATCAAGATGACAAAAATTACAATTTCTGGTGTAGTTTAATGGTTACAAGGTCATACAGATTAACAAAAACCATCTTTCTATTTTTATTGTTGAATAATGACAGTAGG